CCGCATTTCTATATATTATTTCCAAGCGCGTTCTTTCGCAAGCGCGTTTTTAAATTACGCGCCTTCGATATCATACCAGAAATTCACAAAGTATTCTCGATAAACGACATACTTCGATGAATTCCATTTTTGAAGGAGAAAAACAATCGCAAAAGAAACCATCATTTAACATTCGTGCACGTTTACACGAAAGACGCGTAATTTCAACGTAAAGTCGCTTTCAGGATCGTCCATGCTACGATTCATCGTAAGTAATAATAAGTTGCCAATAACTCGAGCAAAAACGAACGCTTTTTCTGCCTGAGTAAAAGCGAAGAGATTTAAAATATTACGGATACGAGAATACCACCCGTTGTGATGGATGTGTCGTTTTCTCGAAACCAAGAATATTCCGCTTTTCTAACCGGAATTAATTCTGATAAGGTTAGGACTCCCACTGTGAATCGAGATTATTGATTATAAGCAAATGATTACTTTTCATAGAGGAAAGGAAATTCTATGTAGACTTCATTAAAAAAAATTCTAATTCAAGTCAATTAAATAGGAAATTTTGTGACGTAGTTTAATTTAATTTTCTGATAAATTATAGGTTAGGATGTATGGTAGCTGGATTAAAATGATTTGCAATATTTTAACGTGAATAAAATACAATTATTATGCATTTATACAAAATAATAATAAAATATCGAGTGGCAAATGTTGAAATTGGCTCGAGTGAATGTTGAAAATTGGCTGAAAAATATATGATTATGATGCATAAATAAGATGCTCATGAGTCTCAGCTTTAGAAAATCGTAATTTCCGCTAGTTGACCTGTTGTGAGACCTAACTTATCAACAGTCGATTGACTTACTTTCCCTAGTGGGAACGGCCTACCCATAAAACGCGTGAATTATTGTCTCGCGGTTCTTAACTGTTTCATGCGATTGTCTTTACCGCGGAAATACATGATAGAGGAATCTTAAAAAGATTTTTATTGGATCGTTAAAGTGTTGAAGCGCGAGCATAAGTGAAGCCAGTGGCATAGTAAATGAGAATGAAGTTGTGAAATTGGATGGAAAACGATTTGCAGCTCGAAACGAATCGGTTTATGAGAAATTATGGTCGATGGAAATGAATCGTGAGAGTATTTGAAAGTGACTCAATTCTTTACCCATACCTTGTATCACTTTGATTCTTTATGAAAAATCATCGTTTTATTTGTGATTATTTGTTATATCTATAAATAATTTGATGTCTGAATGTTTTTTATTTTTAATAAAAGAATATAAAGAAGAATTTTTTATTATTTAGAATTTGAAAAGTATCGAATTTCAAAAATGAAGAATGGTTAAAAACATCATAAACCAAATTTTTTAAATTAATAACGAAATAATATTAAGTATTATAAATAAATCAAGATGAAAGATCTACTGGTCATGGTTTTTAAAAATGTTACACCTATTCAAGTTGAAAAAAGAAAGTAGAATCAAGTGATTCGGATCATCAAGATGTCCAGTTAGAACGAATCGAGTTAAGAAGAAATGAATCGGAACAAATTTAAACCCCGAAGATTTATAGCCATTTATGCGTGCTTTGTATTCATGGTTTTAGATACCTGATTCGTGATGGAATTCATCATTCATATAGGAAACTTTTAGACTTTCAAAGTGGACTTGATATAAAAATAACCGACGTTATTCAAACCGTTGATTTTTTATTTTTTTTTTTGTTCATCTTCTGATTTACATGTACAGTTATTTTTAATTAAAATATTTGGCTATGAAAAATATTCAATATATTTTATAAAAAAAATTAATAAAAAAAATCAACTATTACTTATAAACATATAAATCTAATTTTGAAATATTTTCTTTTATTTTTTAAAAATTATACATATAATAGTAATAAAATAATAATAAAGCATAAATGAAAAATTATATTTTTAAAACTTCAGACGAATGAATAATTTTGTGATTAATTATATATATTTCTTTTTCAATTAGAAAATTTATCTACATTTTATACAAATATTAATAGAGTAAATATCACAAAACTATTATTTTTCTTTTTTTAAAATTTCCAAAAAAACTGGTACTTTTACTCCACGAAATTGATGATATATGAGAATACAAAAAAGAATAATAATTCTTAAAATCGAGATCATTGATCATCAATTGTCAATTATCTTCCTGGTTGATGCACCAAGCAAAATTACTTAATGACAACCATGATATGCAAATTATTAATTATACATATTATATCTAGCTTAACAAAAAATCTTAGCAAAAAATCTTATTCTTCCTAAATTGCCGAATAACATTTTGGAATAACAGATCATCACAAAATAATCACGGATAATAAGTCAAATCCAATTTTCTTTGATAAATAACTCTGAATATTATTGCATACCATTATTATATTTTTTTAAAAATATATTATTTTCAGGAAACAATTAATTATTCTTATTTAATTGTTCCATCGGATCTCAGTCAAAAAATGAAATTTTAATTCATTATCTAATAAAAAAAAAAACTTTAATCATAAAATATATACGATTCTTCTAATTTTTACCTTTTTGTAAAATATGTTATAAATAAAAAAAAATAAATTTTAAGAATACATTAAAAATATTTTTATACTATTAGAATATACGATAAAATGAATATACGTTCGTGGATTAACAATATTCTGAAAGTAAGTAAAAGTTTTTTGTATCTTTTAATCTCTAGTTAGTTTCCAAATAGAATGTTCGCCAAATACTGACGCAAGTATACGAAGGATTTCCTAGTCGGGACGTTTTCACAAGTATTAATTAGCCAGTGGTCATTGATCGGTGAAACCGCTTCTGGTATTAGCAACAGATGGTTAACTCTTAACCTATTTCAGTATGTTACGACATGATATGGCTCGTCCGGTACGCTGTGAAAAATTCTACACGTTATTTTTTCTGAGTCTAATACACGTGACCAATTAACGATCGTGTTCGAGCAGCATGTACTTACGTGGTTTGACTCAATAATTGACTCGAAAAAAAAACGATAGAAAAAGAAAAAGAATTTGGTAAATTAAATTGATGAATATTTTTATAAAAAGAAAAAGTTTTCGAAATGATTTTATTTTTCATTAATTTACTTTTTATTTTCATAAAAATAAATGAAAAATGAAAAATAGAATCTTGCAGAGAATAGTATAGAGAGGATATTTATTACTTTTAAAACCTTCAGATTTTCTTTTATAAGGAAATATTTTTATCTCTTTTGTATAGTTTAAAATGATAAATTCTAATTAAAAAAATATATACTTTTTAATAATTACCAGAGTTATTAGCTAATTTTTATAATTTAATATTTTTCATTACTTTCTATTATCTAAATAATTTTTATATGAAATATTTCATACAAAGGACCTATATATTTATACGATCTTGGAAAGCATTAAACCTATCGAATTTCTTGCTTCCAACTTCACAGAATTTAAACCGGAATACCTAACCAAGAAATCACAAAATCACTTCTCTTCTAATCTTTCAGGCCAGTCACTAAAAACTTCCACAAAGAAATTCAACTAAACATAGTAAAGAAACTACATACTATCAAAGTATTTTATAATATTTTTCTTCTAGGAATCGATAAGTTTTCGAAAAAAAAGAAAAAAAAAAGAAAACGGAAGTGGAACGCGATTCGTCTCGGTTGAAAAACAAGAGCTCATTTACCTTTTCTCCTGCAATGTTAAGGAAACAAGATGGAAGCTTTTCGCAATATACCAGCGTCCCCCTCGCAAAAAATGTCAACCGTATTACCTTTTTGCTCGAGTGGTCGCAATTTTTGCGTAAGTTAATTGCATGCTGTGCACGGGGTACGCAATTGATGCTCTTCTCTTCTGTATCGTGGAAATAGGTACAGAAACAGGTCCGAAAAAGAGACGATCGACCGACAATGGTATCGAAGCGTGATCCTGCTCGAGAAACATGCTGAATTCGAGCGAAAAGAGAACGAAGAAGGACCGGCTGTTCTCTCTAGCGAGAGTAACATGGCGAAAACACGAAGTAAACGACAAGTATAGATATACGCAGAGAACGAAATGCGTCGTTTGACTGCTTTGACTGGCGTGCGCACGCAGCAGAAGGAAAAAAGGGGCTGTGCTCAAGTGGCGACGTCTGTTGCGGCCAAAGGACAGGGAGGAGTCAAGTGTTTGCTTGCCAGGCGAATTATTTTATTGCTGACTGGAGAAAGGTTATGTCGAATCGACTTTAAATCCCCTTTCGTTGAGTATAACGTTTGTTTCGTGCCGAAAAAAGCAGTGACTAGATCGCGAGAAATGCTATCAATGGGAAATATATAACACTGTGACAGGAATACTTAGTGAGGTTATGTTCGAAGATTTCTCAACGCTTTAACGAAATTTAGATATTTATATTGAAAGCACGAAGAAAATGAATTAAATGAAAAAATTTTCAATCAGGAATACTTTTGATGATAATTGTTGATGTTATTATTGAAAGCGATAATCAATTTTATCGAGAGAGGATTATATTTTAATACAGATTATATTTTAATATTATTAAATTCAATGAAAGAAATAAATGCTTATACAAAACATGTAAATTTCACTTTTTCATGTTCTAATTTCACCTTTCCTATTTATATATTCATTTAAATTTCATATTAAAATTCAATTAAATTAAAATTAAAATTAAAATTAAAATTAAAATTAAAATTCTATTCTGACATGAAAATTATCGTTTCAAATACTCTAAGAAAAAAAAAAAGAAGAATCACTCGAAACATAAATGAAACTATTATTATAACACCAATCGTTATTGTATTTATTCTATCATAATCGAACATTTAATAATTTCGTGCAATTTCAAATTCGCGTGCATCGATCGCATGTGCATATAGCATGCATAAAAGTTTTTGAAGAGTCAAGAAAAAATATAAAATATCATACAGATTATAGAATTATACAGAAATATTATAAAATTAAATAATTAAATAGCATAAGTAGACGATGTGAATGGAACGAAACACATTAAGTGCACGAACAACATTCACATAAGACTGTCTGCGAGATGATCTGATCTGTCGCCCAGGGCAAAGAGAAACTTGCTTTGCTAGTTACTATTAATCGGAAATTGTTTAACTCGTCTGATAAACATCTGATTGGTCTATAAGTATACAGCGTGCAATAACGTTCGTTGTTGTTATCAATCGCGAAATGTATAATCCTCCATACCTTAATATGATGCTACTTCTCTTTCAGCACATAATCATTTAGAACACATCCAGAACATTAAAACAACTTTATCGTATCACTGACTGCACGACTCTTTCATTTGTGAAAATTACACCCACTAAACTTTATCACCGTTATATGCGTCGTCATCTAATATTACATGCGCGAAATTGAAACGCGCATTTGAATTCAGACACTCATCCCTCTGGTGGTGAAATAGAGTACTTGACTTGTGATCCGTAGGGAACACGAAAAACAATGAACCATAGTAAGGGTTAGATTGAAATAAAGAGATGGGATTTCTTTTGTAGAGTTTGACTCTCTGAAGCACTTTCAAGATGAATGACTAACATGCTGTGTATGTAAATATCTTTTAATTTTTTATTCTAATCAATCAAAAGAAAAGAAAATTAATATTCTTCGACTGTATAAAAACTTAACCTATAATTTCAGATAATCATTGCATTATTAAATAAAGAAAGTTATTTATAGAAATATCGAAAGAAAAATCTTTAAATCTTAAAATATCACACAATAATAATAAAGAAACGATTTAATTTCTAGGTCAATTTTTCTTCCTTCTGTAAAAAAGGAAACTGTAACGCTTCGTGCTGTACCGGTTGACATCATTATCATTACCACTTTTGCGTAAAAGGAAATTGAAATCGCTCTTTAATCAAGCATACAGTGTAAGGAGAAAAACGATCAAGAAAGCACGTCAACAACGGATTGGAAAATTAGAGCAGAGATGAGCGCGTGCAATGGATTCGGAAAGATCTGTCATCGCTTTCGAAAATTTCTCCCTTTTTCCTCGAGGCAGGCGAAAGACCCCTTTACAACTACCCGAGTCGCGGGGAAGCTACGAGAAACGGCCCTGATGGCCTGTAAACAAGTGAAACAGAACTTTCACGGCCACGAGCTCGACCTGGTCACTTCGTTTTAGGTGTACAGATATTACATATATAGTACATACGAGGTCGGACAAAAAACGAAGCAGAAACAGCAACGGTTATCCCAGCCTGGTCTCTGTGAGAGCGGAATCGACGCATAAAAAGGAAACAGGTTATCGAATTAAAGCGATACCGGTCCCGAGACGCGTAATTTCTATCCTCAGGCCATTCCAGAATAATATTTGGAGGTATACGGTATACGCCTTGGGCGAATCTTTCGATATCTTCCATCTTTAATTCTCGATTTATGATTTGAATCTATTCCAAACATATAGCGAACGTTCGTATTCGCGGATGAAAAAATGGCGGATATTATTTGTTTACAGACACGTCTTTCCACTATAGTACCATGGAAACCTAGGCGAAAAAATGCTTCACTACGCAATAAGATCGTTTTCGTTTACTTACGAACTCGAATGGATCATATTACACCTCGACGCCATGGTTCGGAGATGTTCAAGATGTCTAGGACGCGTGACGAGCACACACTTTTCTAACACACACTTTTCTAACACACTCCAATGGATTTCCAGTTAGATAATAATAAAAGCCAAAAAAAGAGAAAAAAAAATATATTTATCGATTGCACGTGCGAAAAGTATAGTGTAAAAGTAAATGTTTCGCGGAAAAAGGTTATGTTACGCGTTCAACCGCGAAATACAGTATCATGATTGTTTACTAAATTACACAATTACACGTTACAGAGAAGCGAGTTGGAAAAATATAACAATGAAATGTACAAATTGATTTCATATCATTACTTTATTGCTTTTTTTCACGTTAATGTTCTACAAGAATTTTATCATTTCAATATTTGCAATTACGACACAATGACTATGTTTTCTCTGCAATATCGATCAGTTTATCGTGTTATTCGTAATAGATTAATTTATCTATCGATCAGGAACAATGTTAAAGTTTTTCGAAAGTATAAACAAAAAAAATTACTCAAAGTTATATACATATGTATATAAACTGACATGTAGTCTACACACATGTGCGATCGTTAAATTTTTCGTCACTTTCGTGCAGTTTGCCGCGTTTGTTTCTATTTCCCACACACACGTGTCTTTCTACCCTCCTGCAGCAGTGACAGTGAATTAAAACAACACTTCGTGTACTCGTGTTCGTTTATATTTAGAGCGTGGATGCACAAGAAAACGTAAGAGGCTACTTGGTAAGAGCGGAGTCACGTTGCTTATAACGTTACATGATATCGATCGCCAGATTGTTATCCGATAACGAAAGTTATTACTAATGTATCAATAAAGATTACTTATTATTTTTTACTTTTGTATCAGATGATAATGCAAGTTATTAATATGTAAATTGAATGTATGTTTTCTGAGCAAAAATATTCCTTCCGCAGGAATCAAATAGATTTTTACGAATAAGAAACGAAGACAATCGGCTTTGTCTGGTGTAGAAAAGTCAATATTATCGTGTCTGTCGGTACGAATAAAGACTTATATATCTCGACTGTTTATAAATGGAATGATATTTCAGAGAAAAATTAAATTCGTTAATTATTTTTAAAAAACAATAGTGATTTTCGAAGTACATAAAAATGTATTATTTAAAATTTTCAATAATTGAAATAATCTATGACAAAAATTCTGAGAATCCTTGTTACATATTTTTTCTTTAATCCTAATATTTTCTTCCTGATTATTTCTTCAAAAGTACACCGTTAAGGTGTACTTTACATATTTTATCGAAGTATGATATACAACATGGTTGACACTTTTCTCGGTATGGCAATGTTTTGCACTGTAAATATGAGACCATTGTCCGTTTGTCAATACAAGGTACCGTATGTGCACCAGTGCGATCAGACTGCACTTTCGTTATACAAATGCACTCGCAAACATATATGGTTCCCTTCTCGTGACTCGCATTTACTATGATCAAATAATAAAATAATGTCAAACGAGTATTCATTTTCTTTTAAAAGATAAAAAATTTAAATACTCATACGTTTTAACGACTTTTTTTCAATTTTTTCCTAAGAATAAATATAAATGTTCTCCTAACCTAAAATAATCTAAACCTTTACGCTTCTGAAAACACTATAATAATGCACTGTGTGCATCATCAGTGAGACTATATTCGTTATTACACATTTAACTTATGTATAGTTTACACATACATGTTCATGAATACACGTGCGTACGCTATTATGAGTAGACAAGCGTGAGATTCCTGGACAGACGCTTCTCGGCTCGTGTATGCATCTGCATTTGCGTCGAATGAGGTTAACGTTAATGAGGCACAAACATCTCCAGACACTGTAGTCAGACCTTCCCTTTTATTCACCCTGTCACGAGCCCTTGCGGCTATACTGTGCGTGCACACCATTGAAAGGTGATTTTTTCAAACCGACCATTCGTTCGTTCCACTCGATCAACGAACTACAACTACGTGGTCAACGCACGCGGCTTTGCGAGGAAACAGCCGGTTCTTCTAACACACAAAGAATTTCGAAAGATTTTAGAAATACGATTTACGATTTCACGCGTTACAAAAATTCTTATTAGAATCGTTAAGAATATCCGAATCGCGCATGACAAAAATAACATAACCTCTAAATATAAATATTCCTTCGCATAAAGAATGTTCATCTTGAAGATCAAAATATGTCATGCACGGTAATAAATCATTGCATAGGAATAATTAATATTCCTTCAAAAACTTTCTCTAAATCATGGAGAGAAATTAAGATGAAAGATTTGAAAAGATCCATTAAACTTCTCGCAACGAACAAAACAAAAACCTTACCTTATCATCAAAACAAAAAGCGATACAAAAATATTCGACACACACACACACACACACACACACACACACACATATCCAGGTAGAAATCTTTTGAATCGTGTCTTCTTTCCGAAGACCATATATCACTGGTCTTGGGTCACCAATAAATACAAGGTGTATAGTGTCTGCGTACCGTTATATTCGTTCTAGAGACTGGTCCTTATCAAATGCACGCTATTGCACAATATTTAAGTATCGAGATGTGATATCGGAAAGTACTTACTCCGTACAGAGATTTCAATTTTACGTGATTAAGGGCAGGCACATCCACCATGGAACACTTAAGAAGAATAGTCGTAGTTTGGCTGGGCATTTTTCTGCAAGCCTCTGTTCACTTGTCACGTGTAACAAAACTGGCGGCACGACACTAGCGTGGGAAACGTCCATTGGTGTCCGCGACTATGATCTATCGATATCGTCTTACACAAGCTTTAAAACGCAGACCGGTAGGCACGAAAAGAAAAAATGAAAACAGAACTAGGTTATATCGGTTATTACGATGTTATGATAGACACACGAAATTGTTAAGATTCTCAAAAAGGATAATCAAAATAAATGCCGAGGGAACACAAATATTTAACGAGTATAAAAATTCGAGTTCTCGTTTTCGCGGCAGTGAAATGGCAGTGCACCGTTACCGATCAAATTTTAGATATAACGATGTTTCGTTTTCTTTTTCTTTCAACGGACTAACAATATATTCGATCGTCAACATCTATAATCACGCATCTATCACACAATCATTTAAACGTGCTCGTAACAGAGTTCCTCCCGTACCGAACATGCTCTTGCCTGCTCGCCTAACTGACTGACTGGTTTTCACTCACTCTCACACAACGCGAAACCGAGTGGAATTGTAGTCACATCTCTCCCCACTGCGGAACCCTTCCTTATCCCCTCCACAGAAGTTAGAGCCAATCGTTGCCGCAAAGAACGCATATACGTGTGCGTGCACATGTTTAAAGCTTCACATGCGAAAGTGCGTGTCAGTGCACTGACACTGATGCATGATGCTGAATGTTCATGTTTGCGTGTATACGTGCATGCATGTTTTATTCCAACAAATGTATGGAGTATATCACGATGAAAGAATATACGGAAGAAAATTGGTAGAATTGATTTCGTCGAAAAAAGATGATTTAAAATGAAATAGATAAAGCATGACGTGAATCGCATTTGCTTGCGGGATTTAGGCGAAGAAAATAACGGATTTTTCGTGACGTCGCTTTACGATAAAAAGTGAATCAATCTGTGGAATATTTTGATAATTTATTCCTAAATTCTTTTATCGTTTAATCTGTTACTGTTTTTTTTTTAATTATAAATTAATAGATATATTATTTTTCTCGATTCTTTATTTTCTCAAAAATTTCTCAATTACAAAAATATGAGGTTAGGTTATAAAAATAATTATAATTAATAAAATTTGCGATAAAATTAAATATATAATATAACAAAGATTTAAATTAAGTAAACTAAGTATGATTAAAAAAGTAAATTTTCTTTAAACAAACACAAAAAAAAAAATAGATTAATAGAACTCAATTATGTCGTTATATGTGCGTATGTAAACTATATATTACGCAATATTTAGCATAAGTAAATGCACTTTCACTGTCATCTACCGGTTTTAATTACATGATGTAAAGGAAGTTTCGAATCTGATCAATCTGTTTATATGTTTATATGTTCCACCTCTGCTTCGATTTATATTAATAAAAATCTTTGTAAATAAAAATATGTATATTTATAGACATTGCAAGATTAATTTTTATTGACAATACAATAAAATTCTTATAATTGATGACGATCTCATCAGTAATTTCATTTCTAGTAAAATACTACAAGATTCGACTACGTATTTAAATTCGCGGAAACATGTGACTCATTCATTCATTCATAACTTCATTGGTAATATTTAATCTAATTAATATTAAATTTAATTTTAAAAAATTCAAAAAAAGATACATCTATCTCTTATTCAATAAAAATTATTTTTTATAATAATAAATTTATAAATTAATAAATAAATCAATTTTATTTATGTTTCAAGATTTCCTCGATTTTCAAATACTTGATTCAAAATTCTTTTATTCTTGTAAAAAATTTTGAAAATTATTCTTTTGATGTATTCTATTGTAAGATAATTTTTGTATTAATATCTTGACAAATAGAAACAATGAGTAAGTTTTAAAATTATTATTTATCATCGGGATAAATTTATCTATATAAATGTATCGTCAATATTCACAAACTTATAATATGTAATTATTTATAATATAAAAGATATAATAAGATAAGATATACAATCATTCGCAATCGTTATCAAAGATTAAAATAAACAATTTTCAAAGGCGACAATGAATTAAAATTATTCTTTTATGTTACCATGAATAAAAAAACCAGATTAATTATTACAAAAACAGTTAATTATATCAATTCCATAATCGAGAACATAGAATTTAACAATTTCCACTGCGATATTTGCGAAACATCCATGATAAGAAGAAGGAAATAACGCATCAAAGGATAACTCATTTTTTCCTTTAACGATCAACGGAAAGTCTAAAGTCACATATAACTGCGTCACTATGTTGCGATATAGAATACACATTGTTTAGATATGGGTCGACATAACCTACATAATTTTTAAGTTGATAAAATTCGAATACAAAACTTTGTAAGATTTTGAAGCTTTTGAAATTCTCGAAACACAAAATGCTTATTTTTTAAGAATTACTTTACTTTACCAATAATTAAAATCTTGAAAAATTTCGATTTCTGAAATCTTTAAAACTTAGTTTTGTAATCGATCAATGATAAGAATAATAATATTATTGCCTTCCATTAAATTTTCATTCATAGAAACTATCGTAATATCAATCAATCTTATTAATTAAAAATAAATTCACTTTGTCACAACATTCTCTTTACTATTCCTCTTGAATACAGAGGAATCACGAAAAAGATTCATTTTTCGGTTTCGAAATTTCGAGCGTCATAATTGCACGATCTTGCGCAAACGGCGCATGCGCCTCCAGCGCGCATGAAACAGGAAGAACAACGGCGGACATATTTTTTTATTTCTCGGATCGAGCGTGACCGCATGTTACGCTGCTTCGCCACGTTTTATCGGCTTAAGATCAATGTGTCAAAGTTATGCCACGCATTCGTATCCGAAGGTGATACGAGCTGGACGTTATCCAACGACCGCACAGAGAGAACCGCAGACAACTCGATCGCCCGGCAGATTCTAGTTACGAGACAGGTGACGAAGTTTTCTTCCTTCCCTCTGCACTTGTCGATGTCGCTCATTTGGGCGAGGATATAGCGTAGAAATAGTAACGATGTTTTGAAAATATATTGGCAGTAAACATCGATGTTTTTATCATCGACATTCGGGAGATCGATATATTGAAAGCAACAATATTTTTCTGATGGATTTCAATGTTTTTAGTTTTTACGAGGTTGGAATTTAATACTTGAACTCAGGATACGGTAAGTTTGATTATTTTTGTTTTTTTCCTTGTTATGTCTGGTGTTTTCATTATTCTTTGCCATTTGTAATTATTTTAATTATAAAAATTATTGTCGAATTGTTTGTAAATTGTAATTTGGTGGATGGGATAGAAAATAGTAAGGAAGAAAAGTAAAATTTAATTTTTATTATATTTTGTCAAGACAAATTAAATCGGTAAATTAAATAGTAATTATTATTTGTATATAATTTAATTAATTTAATTAATTTAATAAATTCTCAATAAAGCATTAATTATTCCAGTCTTTTGGAAATTACGTATAAAGAATTATTAATTTTTCATATTTTCATATTCCAACTGATTACAAATATACAATTTTAATAATAATAATATTTGCAGAAGGAAGATAAATAAAATTATAGAAATATTATGTAATTAAAATAATAGTAACAAAAAATTTATGTAATATTATTAAATTTCAATTATGTTTCAATAATCATTTATGTCACATAAAGTAGAAGAAAGAAATTTATATTAATTGCTATTATTAATGTATGCAATAGATATACATTATATCCAGCTGCTTCGAATCGTACAAATGAATATCAACTAAAGAAACTAAAGTGTTTAGAAAGAACACTTAACATTAATTATTACATTTGAATACGTACATTAACATAAATATTTAAATACTCTTTTAATTTTTAACATTCAATTATTCGATATTATATTAAATATTATAATTACAAACAAGAACTCGAAGAACCTGTATCGACTGGTCGAACAACTCATCGAATTATTTAACTAATATTTACATAAAATATTACAATCAAGATTAATAGCTGAGATATTATTTAAAACGAATTATAAGCAATTCTATATCTTCAATTTTATTAAAACTATTTAAATTCTCCAACAATTTAATGTCTAGAATATTAACATGAATAAATAAATGCTATAATAATTAATAAGAATGTCATGAGTCATATTTAAATAATGAAAGTTATAATTATAAAATGTTTTATATATATATATATATATCAAAACAAAAAATATTTATGTATTAATACGCGAAAACTAAATAAATTTCTTCTATTTAAAAGAAATAAACGAACCATGTAAAACTTTTTGTCCAAATTAGGAAAAAAGTTATTTTTTACACATACTTTTTTAATTCATCCATTCTCAAATCCTTATTCACATATTTTTATCTTTCTAATTGTGAGAGTCAATTCACTGTCTCTTCAAGAATTCATTATTTTATTTCATTATGAAATATATAATAATCACATCATCAAATTTTATTTACAAACTTATAACGAATAATAGTTCAACGAATATTGTGTCATCATTTCTTTGATGTGACAGATGAAATTTAGAATGCCAATATATTTAAGAATAAAGAATTGTTCTTAAAAGTATTTTTTACAAATAAACATTGCATCTGAGAATAATAATTGTCCAACAACAATTTTCAGAATTAAAAATTTTATTTTTGAATATATTCTTACATATTCTTTGAATCAAAGAACGATTTTCATAGATAACGAGATGCATCACGATGCAACTTTCACATCGATACTCAACAGCGACATATAATACAGAAGAACACGCAACAAGTATGTACCCTGTATATTCGCAATTATTGAACAACTCGAGGAGATAACGATTCGCGTAATCGTTCAATTTTCCCTCGATTACGCAATTATTATCCCTCCATAATCATTAATCTATCATTTATCCTCGCGGACCGAAAAGCCAATTAAAAGCCAAAAATAACGCAGAAATCAGATTTCCAAACTTTCCACCTTCGTTTTCGAACTCGAATCTCGCCAATCTTGTAATTAATTCCCCCGTAAATAGGAAAACAGCGTTGCAAAACGAAGTAGCAATAAAACGTGGAATCGTTCGAAAAATTGGGACTTCACATTCCACTTTCTTATCGGCTAAATATTTATCAACGTTTCTATCTGTTTTTACGAGCCTGTACATTTTCACAGTGACACAAATTTTCTTGAAATGTCACAGTTTCACCATTACCGATGACAATAACGTCAATTAAAAATATTCGCAAACTGTTGGCGCCTGCAATATTGTCGGAGAGACTTTGTACAAACAATTGAAAACACGGATGAATACGAGCATTGTAATGAATGCAAATTTATGTTTTGTGCATACGCACTGATAAGAGTGAAAGAGAAAAAGAAAGAAGGGAAAAAATTCGCAAAATATTACACGTCTTTCTACGCTTTATTTCATAAGATCTGAATTTAATTAAATGTAATTCTAATTTAAAAGTAATATTATTGTTTGACTGTATAATTAAACGTGTAAAAAAGAAAAGTATAAAGATAGAAATA